AATTGAAGGAAATGCTTAATTTAAGTTAGTAAAAATAAACATACAATTTTTTTCCCAGCCAAGTTCACAGACCCTCTAGAAGTCTGTTCATGGACCCCATGTTAAGAATGCTGGGCTAAATTATTTCTAAGGTCCCATCTAGTTTTAAGATTCTTATAATAGCCCCTGGGCTTAGACCCACAAGCCCTGTGTGTGATTAACAGGAAGACGGAGTGTATGCACATGCCCACATGTTATAAGCTTGGGCTTGTGTCAGTGGCCTCTGAGAAATTATGCTAGGTTCCTGGGTCTGGCCTGGCACGAGGTAGAGCCCTCCCTAGTCCATAAAACCACAGGTTTAGTGAGTAGGGGAATTGACATGCTGTGAAGTGGTAATTGTGGGCTACCTGAACTGTATACCAGATTATCAATGGCCAAGGGAGGGGAGGTTCCAGCCTCGCCAGAGTCAGCATTACCCACTTACGTGCCAGCCCAAGCAGCTGATTTCCTTTGCAGCCCCAAGCTCACACTCCTTTCTCCAAAACACAGGCTGGGAGCCCTGAATTCCCAGAAGAAAACCCTTGCATGGAACCTTTTGGTCAGATGTCTGGCCTGTAGCTTAAGTAAATGCTGGGCTGTTCTTAAAGCATTAGAAAGTGGAAAGATATTCTTTGATCTCCTCCTATTCTTTTCAGGTTCAGGACTGAGAATTGGATAGGGATTAAGTGATAAGATTATTTCTTACAGCTCGCCATTCAGAAATGACTTAATATAGCGGAAAAAGCCCTGCCCTGTTAAAAGAGCTGGGGTCTAGTACTACTGCTAACTCACATGTGTAGCCTTAAACAAGTCAGTTATGGGGCAGCTAGGTGGTTTAGTGAATAGAGCCCCAGCCCTGGAGTCAGGAGGACCTGAGTTCAAATCCAGCCTCGGACACTTACTAACTGTGGGACCCTGTGCAAGTCACTTGCCTCAGTTTCCTTGTTTGTAAAATGAGCTGGAAAAGGAAATGACAAACCACTCCACTATCTTTTCCAAGAATTCCTCTCCCCAACACACACACACACACACACACACACACACACACACACACACACACACAACTCAGTCATAGTGGATAGAAGCATTGGGCTTGGAATCAGGGAAGGATTCCAGGGAAGACATATTCATGAGTTCAAATCTGGCCTCAGACGCTTACTAGCAGCGTGACTCTGGGCAAGTCATTTAACCCTGATTCCTCAAAAAACAAGTCAGTTATGTCCTCTAAGCCTCAATTTCCTTACTTGGGCTGGATTTCCGAGGTCTTTTTCCACCTGGCATGGTAGATATAGTTCTGGACTTGAGTCCAGTCAAGTCGTCTTGACTTGAGTTGGGGTGACCAGTCACTCAAATTCTCAGTGTCCCCATTTGTGAAATGAAGAGAACCATATCGAATGGCATAATGTATGCAAGGCCCTTTGTAAACCTTAAACCGCTATACAGATGTCAGCTTTTGGCAGGGACGTTGTTTGTCCTGGATGTGGATGCCATTGACCGAGGTAGTCCAAGAGGGTACCGTCTGCCTCTATACCCTCCTGTACTGAAGGTACAGGGCAGACTTGTTTCTCCCTTCTGCCTCTTGGCTCTTCCCCTTTATATTGGTCTTGACCCCAAGCTCCGCTTGGGCTTCAGGCTATTAGCCTTGAATAACCCAGGGAGACCTCCTGAGGGTTCCCTCCTCAAGAACTAAGAGGGATTGGTTTGAGATTGGATCCATCTCTTAATGATCCTTCTCCAGCCTGTTCTCACTGAAACCAGGAAACCCAGAAGACCACACCAGACAAAAGTTGGGGCAGCCCCTTTCTACCATTCTGCTTCCCACCTCGGGAATAATAGCTAACATTTATCCAGGGCTGTGCTGGAGCCACCTCATGAGAGCTGGTTGTTAAATGTACTGTGTGAGCATTTACTCCTCAGAAATCAGCAAATGTTACAAATCAGGGTTTGATGTATTGTTTTGTTGATTAGGACTTAGGGAAGTGATGGAGAAAATGGAATAATACAGATTAAACTTAAAAGTGTGTCATGCACACTTCTCCCCCCAGAGAGCTGGTAGTTAAACATTTGCCAGCACCCTAAACAGCAGCCCCTAAACATGGCACTTTAAGGTTTACAAAGTGTTTTGCCAGTTTTATCTCATTTGATCTTCACAACAACCTTGGGAAATTGGTACAATTATTTTATTTATTTTAATTTATATATTTATATATAAAATATTTATATTTATGTATAAAATATATTTATACATTATATATAATGTTTTATATATTGATCTATTTTATATTTATATTTATTTTATTTTATTCATTTTGTCAGTGAGAAAACTAAAGCAAATAGATTAACTGGCTTGCCTAGGGTTGCACAGATAGATTTTAGTTGTTGTTGAGTTGTTTCAGTCATGTCCAGCTCTTTGTGATCCCATTTGGGGTTTTCTTGGCAAAGATCCTGGAGTGGATTGCCATTTCCTTCTCCAGCTCATTTTACAGGTGAGGAACTGAGGCAAACAGGGTGAAGTGACTTGTCCAGGGTCACCCAGCTAGGAAGTGTCTGAGGCTGGATTTGAATTCAGGTCTTCCTGATTCCAGGCCCTCTGCTCTTTCCACTGCGCCACCTAGCTGCCCTTGCACGGATAGATAGTGTCTTAGATGGGATTTGAACTCAAGTCTTCCTGATTCCATGTTCAGCTCTCTCTCCTCTTTGCCACCCAGCTGGATTGCGTGATGCCCTCCCAATCCAGGCCACCTCAAAGCAATGACTAGGCAACCCTCCCCTCTATCTGAGTAAAGGAAGGCGAGTATATTAGAAGGGACCACAGGCCTGGGGGTCAGGAGACTTGGGTTCTAGTTCTGGTTCTCCCACTGATCCCTGAGGGGACCTTACCCCTCTCTGTAATTATGCCCGTGCCGCTTCCTTCATGGGACAGTGTGAGAACCAGTGAGATGCTCGGAATAAGAGAGTTTTATAGACAGCTTCTGCTAAATCATCATGGACATGTGACCTTATTTAGGGACCCTTGTTTGGACATGAGGGCACCTTCACCAGGGCCCAGAGAAAGACCCAGAAATGACCCATGCAGTGCTGAATTCCAGCCCTTAGCCAGATTGATCATCGCTTGTTTATGATCTCAATAACTGGCATTTATTTTGGAAAGTGCTTTACATATATTATCTCATTTGATCTTCGACAACACCCTGAAGCTGGCACACCAGGCGTATTTTTCCCCTTCCTTTGGTCCAAACCTCTGACTTTGTAAATGTGGGGAACTCCACATATTGATATTCCCTCAACTGTCATTCCAGTTGTGTGTCACTCTTCATGACCCCTTTTGGGTTTTGGGTTTTTTGTTTTTTGGCAAAGATACAGGAGTGGTTTGCCATTTCCTTCTCCAGCTCATTTGACAGATGAGGAAACTGAGGCAAACTTAAGTGACTTGCCTAGGGTGGCACAGCTAGGAAGTGTCTAAGGCCAGATTTGAACTCAGGAAGATGAGTCTTCCTGACTGTCCATGGCACTACCTCAGCAATTCCTCTACTGTTTCAGAAGGTTGGTTGCCTTGGGGGCCCAAGTGACTTGTCACATTTCTAGAATGTGTCAGAAGAAGGTCTTTAATAGTGCCGAAGCCAATCCCCTATCCACTGTGCCATCCATGACCCCTCTCACTGCAGGTATTGTTACCCCCATTTTATAGATGTGGAAACTGAGGCTTAGAGAAATTAACTTAAGACTTGCCTGGGATCACACAGTGTCAGAGGTGGGATTTGAACCCAAGCCTTCCTGATTCCAAGTCCAGCATTCTGTTCCTGCTGCCCCACTGTGCAGTGTACATTAAAGGCTTGTATAGTGCTTTATGGGTGCCTTCTATCTACGATCTCACCAGAATCTCCCAACAGCCCCGTGAAAGAGGCAGAGCAGATATTATCTCTATTTCACCGAGAAAGAAACTGAGGCCCAGAGAAATGACTTACCCAAATTTATAAAGCGAGTGGTAGAGCCAGGGTTAGAAGCCAAGTCTCCATCCCAGTGATAGCTGCCCTTCTGGCTTCTTTCATCTTTCCTGGCTCTTCCCTTCCCTAGGTCCCATGGCCAAGCCTTCACAAGAAGAAAAGGGCTCCTCCCTGGAGCCCTTGGGGGCCTTCTCTGGGATGGGTTTATTGAGATTGCTTTGTTTTTACAATGGGGGCTGGTTTTTCTCCCCATTTCTTCCGGGGACCTGAAAATCCAGCCTTTCCTTGCCCCAAGGGTAAGAGAGTCTCTGCTAGTATGGTAGTCTGGAATGGAAGCCACCCTGGGGCAGGAAGAGAGGTTTTCCCGGAACTGGGGAAGTCTCAGCCTCCTACAGGATTAAACCTGCCAAGAAGTGACATCAGCAGAGGTGACTCAGCCCCGACCCAGGAACAATGGAGCTAATCCTTACTTCCTGTTTCCCGACTCTGGCTCCCTGATGAACTCATGTGCCTTTGAATCAGTTTGAGTGGAGTTCCTAACTGGTTTCCCTCCTTATTTCTCCCCTCCATCCTGTACCCTGGCACTTGGTAACTTCCCTGTGAAGATGGACACTATAAGGGGCATGGCCAAACTACCCCCCCCCCAAAAAAACCCCACACATTAATACAGTCAGATAATTCTGAGTCATACCCCGTCCCCTCTCCTTCCCTTCACGGACCTTCAGTTGTTGTGGTCAAAAGTCAGGATTCAGCCTG